GAACCAGAACCAAGAACAAGAACCAGGAACCAGAACCAAGACCAGAACCAAGACCAGAACCAGAACCAAGAACCAGAACCTAGAACCAGAACCAAGAACCAGAACCAAGAACCAAGAACCTAGATCCAAAAACCAGAACCAGAACCAAGACCAGAACTTAGAACCAAAAACCAGGACCAAGACCAGAACCAAGAACCAGAACGTAGAACCAGAACCAAGAACCAGAACCTAGAACCAGAACCTAGAACCAGAACCAAGACCAGAACCAGAACCAAGAACCTAGATCCAAAAACCAGAACCAGAACCAAGAACCAGAACCAAGAACCAAGAACCAGAACCAAGAACCAGAACCAAGAACCTAGAACCAGAACCAGAACCAAGACCAGAACCAAGAACCAGAACCTAGAACCAGAACCAAGAAACAGAACCAGGAACCAGAACCAGAAGCTAGAACCAGAACCTAGAACCAGAACCAAGACCAGAACCTAGAACCAGAACCAAGACAAGAACCAAGACCAGAACCAAGAACCAGAACCTAGAACCAGAACCAAGACCAGAACCTAGAACCAGAACCAAGAACAAGAACCAGGAACCAGAACCAAGACCAGAACCAGGACCAAGAACCAGAACCTAGAACCAGAACCAAGAACCAGAACCAAGAACCAGAACCAAGAACCAAGAACCTAGATCCAAAAGCCAGAACCAGAACCAAGACCAGAACCTAGAACCAAAAACCAGGACCAAGACCAGAACCAAGAACCAGAACTTAGAACCAGAACCAAGAACCAGAACCTAGAACCAGAACCTAGAACCAGAACCAAGACCAGAACCTAGAACCAGAACCAAGAACCTAGATCCAAAAACCAGAACCAGAACCAAGAACCAGAACCAAGAACCAAGAACCAGAACCAAGAACCAGAACCAAGAACCTAGAACCAGAACCAGAACCAAGACCAGAACCAAGAACCAGAACCTAGAACCAGAACCAAGAACCAGGAACCAGAACCAGAAGCTAGAACCAGAACCTAGAACCAAGACCAGAACCAGAACCAAGACAAGAACCAAGACCAGAACCAAGAACCAGAACCAAGACCAGAACCTAGAACCAGAACCTAGAACCAGAACCAAGACCAGAACCTAGAACCAGAACCAAGAACGAACCAGGAACCAGAACCAAGACCAGAACCAAGACCAGAACCAGAACCAAGAACCAGAACCTAGAACCAGAACCAGAACCAAGAACCAGAACCAAGAACCAAGAACCTAGATCCAAAAACCAGAACCAGAACCAAGACCAGAACCTAGAACCAAAACCAGGACCAAGACCACCAGAACCAGAACGTAGAACCAGAACCAAGAACCAGAACCTAGAACCAGAACCAAGACCAGAACCTAGAACCAGAACCAAGAACCTAGATCCAAAACCAGAACCAGAACCAAGAACCAGAACCAAGAACCAGAACCAGAACCAAGAACCAGAACCAAGAACCTAGAACCAGAACCAGAACCAAGACCAGAACCAAGAACCAGAACCTAGAACCAGAACCAAGAACCAGAACCAGAAGCTAGAACCAGAACCTAGAACCAGAACCAAGACCAGAACCAGAACCAAGAACCAGAACCAAGAACCAGAACCAAGAACCAAGAACCAAGAACCTAGATCCAAAAACCAGAACCAGAACCAAGACCAGAACCTAGAACCAAAAACCAGAACCAAGACCAGAACCTAGAACCAGAACCAAGAACCTAGATCCAAAAACCAGAACCAGAACCAAGAACCAGAACCAAGAACCAAGACCAGAACCTAGAACCAGAACCTAGAACCAGAACCAAGACCAGAACCTAGAACCAGAACCAAGAACAAGAACCAGGAACCAGAACCAAGACCAGAACCAAGACCAGAACCAGAACCAAGAACCAGAACCAGAACCAGAACCAGAACCAAGAACCAGAACCAAGAACCAAGAACCTAGATCCAAAACCAGAACCAGAACCAAGACCAGAACCAGAACCAAAAACCAGGACCAAGACCAGAACCAAGAACCAGAACGTAGAACCAGAACCAAGAACCAGAACCTAGAACCAGAACCAAGACCAGAACCTAGAACCAGAACCAAGAACCTAGATCCAAAAACCAGAACCAGAACCAAGAACCAGAACCAAGAACCAAGAACCAGAACCAAGAACCAGAACCAAGAACCTAGAACCAGAACCAGAACCAAGACCAGAACCAGAACCAGCAGAACCTAGAACCAGAACAAGAACCAGAACCAGAAGCTAGAACCAGAACCTAGAACCAGAACCAAGACCAGAACCAGAACCAAGAACCAGAACCAAGAACCAGAACCAAGAACCAAGAACCAAGAACCTAGATCCAAAAACCAGAACCAGAACCAAGACCAGAACCTAGAACCAAAAACCAGAACCAAGACCAGAACCTAGAACCAGAACCAAGAACCTAGATCCAAAAACCAGAACCAGAACCAAGAACCAGAACCAAGAACCAGAACCAAGAACCTAGAACCAGAACCAGAACCAGAACCAAGAACCAGAACCAGGAACCAGAACCAGAAGCTAGAACCAGAACCTAGAACCAGAACAAGACCAGAACCAGAACCAAGAACCAGAACCAAGAACCAGAACCAAGACCAGAACCAGAACCAGAACCTAGAACCAGAACCAAGAACCAGAACCAAGAACCAAGAACCTAGATCCAAAAACCAGAACCAAGACCAGAACCTAGAACCAAAAACCAGGACCAAGACCAGAACCAAGAACCAGAACCAAGAACCAGAACCTAGAACCAGAACCTAGAACCAGAACCAAGACCAGAACCTAGAACCAGAACCAAGAACCTAGATCCAAAAACCAGAACCAGAACCAAGAACCAGAACCAAGAACCAGAACCAAGAACCTAGAACCAGAACCAGAACCAAGACCAGAACCAAGAACCAGAACCTAGAACCAGAACCAAGAACCAGAACCAGGAACCAGAACCTAGAACCAGAACATAGAACCAGAACCAAGACCAGAACCAGAACAAGAACCAGAACCAAGACCAGAACCAGAACCAAGAACCAGAACCTAGAACCAGAACCAGAACCAAGAACCAGAACCAAGAACCTAGATCCAAAAACTAGAACCAGAACCAAGAACCTAGATCCAAAAACCAGAACCAGAACCAAGAACCAAGAACCAGAACCAAGAACCAGAACCAAGAACCTAGAACCAGAACCAAGACCAGAACCAAGAACCAGAACCTAGAACCAGAACCAAGAACCAGAACCAGAACCAGAACCAGAAGCTAGAACCAGAACCTAGAACCAGAACCAAGACCAGAACCAAGAACCAGAACCAAGACCAGAACCAGAACCAAGAACCAGAACCTAGAACCAGAACCAAGAACCAGAACCAAGAACCAAGAACCTAGATCCAAAAACCAGAACCAAGACCAGAACCTAGAACCAAAAACCAGGACCAAGACCAGAACCAAGAACCAGAACCTAGAACCAGAACCTAGAACCAGAACCTAGAACCAGAACCAAGACCAGAACCTAGAACCAGAACCAAGAACCTAGATCCAAAAACCAGAACCAGAACCAAGAACCAGAACCAAGAACCAAGAACCAGAACCAAGAACCTAGAACCAGAACCAAGACCAGAACCAGAACCAAGAACCAGAACCTAGAACCAGAACCAAGAACCTAGATCCAAAAACCAGAACCAGAATCAAGAACCAGAACCAAGAACCTAGAACCAGAACCAAGAACCAGAACCAGGAACCAGAACCTAGAACCAGAACATAGAACCAGAACCAAGACCAGAACCTAGAACCAGAACCAAGAACCTAGATCCAAAAACCAGAACCAGAACCAAGAACCAGAACCAAGAACCAAGAACCAGAACCAAGAACCAGAACCAAGAACCTAGAACCAGAACCAAGACCAGAACCAAGAACCAGAACCTAGAACCAGAACCAAGAACCAGAACCAGGAACCAGAACCAGAAGCTAGAACCAGAACCTAGAACCAGAACCAAGACCAGAACCAGAACCAAGAACCAGAACCAAGACCAGAACCAGAACCAAGAACCAGAACCTAGAACCAGAACCAGAACCAAGAACCAGAACCAAGAACCTAGATCCAAAAACCAGAACCAAGACCAGAACCTAGAACCAAAAACCAGGACCAAGACCAGAACCAAGAACCAAACCTAGAACCAGAACCAAGACCAGAACCTAGAACCAGAACCAAGAACCTAGATCCAAAAACCAGAACCAGAACCAAGAACCAGAACCAAGAACCAAGAACCAGAACCAAGAACCAGAACCAAGAACCTAGAACCAGAACCAAGACCAGAACCAGAACCAAGAACCAGAACCTAGAACCAGAACCTAGAACCAGAACCAAGACCAGAACCTAGAACCAGAACCAAGAACCTAGATCCAAAAACCAGAACCAGAATCAAGAACCAGAACCAAGAACCTAGAACCAGAACCAGAACCAGAACCAGTTTCCTGATAAATCAGGAAACTGGTTCTGTTGTGGTTCTGTTGTGGTTCTGTTCCTGTCATGACTGGATCCAAATATCCCCAGAACCAGAGGACAGGTACTGTGGTTGCTCTGAGCTTTTGGACTTCATTGGTTCTGGAGGTTCTGTTTGACCCATCAGAACCTCGACTTTCAAAATAAAAGCTTCACCTGCTTCAGTCAGACACTGGTTGTCATGGAGACGGAACCAGCTAAGAGCTGGACATGACGAACTGGCCCGGATCAGAACTCTGATCAAAACCGGGCCGGCTGGAGAATCTGCTGCTGACGGATCTGCTCCGAGGTTCTGGAAGGTTCTGGAAGGTTCTGATCAGAAACATCAGCGACCCGGTCCAGAGTCGTTCAGAACCAGGAGCGCAATGGTTCTGATGCTTCATTTATGAGGGAAACAGCCACGTGACTCCAATGTAAACAAACCGAGCCCGGGCTCCAATCGGAACCGAACCTTACCGATCCTGGATCAAGTCCGTTATGAAATCTTTCCCGGACTTCCGCTTTCCGCTGAAGACCAGAACCAGTTCGGGTCCAGACGCTCGGTTCTCCATCTGTCAGTCCACCTGAGACGCTGTTGGTTCCGTTGTCGGACCGGACCGGAACCGAACCGCACTGTGAAGCTCCTCAAATCAGGAGCCAAATGGACCAGGAGGTTCTGCTGGAACCCGGGACCTGTTCGACTCGGAACCACGTGACTATCATCAGATCCAGACCGAACCATAAATGGGGAACGGAACCGGAACCAGATCAGAACCTCCAGGTTGTGGTTCCGAGTAAATGATGGGCTTTGTTCTGTGTTCATTCAACTATTAAAGGTAAAACTAATAAAAGCGATTTTTACTTATTTTTATTGAACAAAACCTGAAAATAAAAATTGAAGCGCTGCCCCGCCCCCTCATGACGTCTTGGTGGTAGGGCCCTCATACGTCATCAACTGAAACCAACATGGCGGCCGTCATGCTGAGCTCAGGAAGGAACCTTCTGCAGGTGAGACCAAGCAGCATCTGTGACGTCAGAGAGCAGCGTATGGAGCGTCAGGTGTCGGACTGAAGGAACGTTAAAGTTTTCAGTCCGGGTTGACCTTTCACCCCGATCCCGCCTACATCCATGAAGACTCCGGCCAGCTGTAGTTCACGTTGTCAGCACCAGGGGCCACAGTTTGACTTTGACTGGCGTCTTAAGGTGACGTCAGTCCAGCGGTCTTGGCGCCCGAGGCGGCGCCAGAGGGGGCATCTGGGGGCACGGGGCTCCCAGATGCCTTGCTCATAACCAGGGCATCGTCGTACCGCGTTAAACACGGGAGACATGAAGCTGTCTCTTGCTCCAAAGCCTGCGTTACAGGACGCAGCGCCCCCTTCTGACCGGAGGACTGCTAACCATGCATTTATTCACAGGTTCAGTGACGCAAAAATAATTTCAACCCTTTACATTTGAAAACTATTTTCATTTTTTAAAACAAACGCAGCTTTCTCTGTGCAATATTTCCAAGACAACTTTTTATTGCATGATGATTTATCAAATAATACACATTAAAATCTCCAAACATTTAACTGTCTTAATGGCAATTGACTAATAATAGGAATCAATTCATGATGTCACTCAAAAACACCTTCAATTTATGGCTGAAAGTTAGCTTGATATAAAGTGGAGCTAATATGCTAACAAATCAAATTAAGGCACAGCATATATAAATGGAACTAAAATATTCTTTAAAAAAACTGAATGTTGTGACTTTATGAAGCAAAAATGTAACAATAAATTCATCAGTTTTCTCCTCAAGTCTGAGAAGAAAACATTTGTTTATAAATCATGATAAATTGCAACTTCATTAAAGTTTTTAGAAAGCTTTGAAAAGTGGATGTTGTACAATAAATCTATTCCATCTTTAGTTTTAGAAAATGAAATTTGGTCTTCTAACAGAGTTAAATGATGATTTATCTAATCCCAAGTTTCATTCTCAAATACTACTTTCTAAAAATCAACTCCACTTTTAAAGTGAAATCATTTATTATTTACAATCTTTAATCCAATATGTTAATATCTTAATTTAAGATTTGAAATTTGTCTTTCATTTGTGACATTTTTTCTTTCCTCATTTAGTTTATTTTCATTTCTTCTTTTCCTGCTCAGTTTATTAAATCAAACTTTTTATCACTAATGTGCCTTGTCATAATATTTTCTTTTAATTTTCCATAAAGTCGAAAAAACAACAAATCATTGCCATAAATCCGCCTTTTAACTCAAAACGTCACGTGCAGCAATGAATTGTGGGTAATAGTCCACCTGCATGTGGCTTAGCAGAAGGCCAGAGATAAGACCAAAAGGGGCGGGGCTAAAGCAGGAAGTGGCCCCCCATGCATCACCATGGTAACAGGCTGCAGCCACGCCCACCTGAACACCTGGATGGCAGAACGTGATTAATTGATTGATTGATTGATTGTAATTATTGTCATATTCAGGTGCTTTAACTGAACTGGGTTCCAACTGGGCCATAACTTTGTGTCTCAGGCCCGGTTCCCCAGGCCGCCGGTCCGGTCCGAATCGGCCCGTCCGTCCGGGTTCTTCGCTCCGTCCGAAGGCGCCATGCTGCCGGCGGGAAGCTTCAGAGACCGGCTGGCCTTCATCACTGGAGGCGGCACCGGTCTGGGCCGGGCCATGACCTGGTTCTGTCCCAGCTTGGAGCCCGCTGCGTCATCGCCAGCAGGTCAGAGGTCACATCACAGGTCACATGACCCCATCGGGAACCGTTCCTGAACTTCTGCTCGTCTGGTTCAGGAACCTGGACGTCCTGCAGGAGACAGCTGGCGAGATCAGCAGCCAGACCGGGAACCAGGTAACCGGGTCATCTCAGAACCAGAACGGGTCCAGAACCCAGCGTCTGACCCGGTCCGTGTCTGTCCTCAGGTCCACGCCCTCCAGTGCGACGTCAGAGACCCTCAGGCCGTGGCGCGCTGCGTGGACCAGATGGTGGCGCTAAGCGGACTTCCTGATGTAAACCAGAACCAGAACCTGTCGCTGTTGTGTGTTCAGAGCGTTGGTGATGACATCACGCTATCCTGTGTTCCCATTGGCCAGGTGATCATCAACAACGCCGCAGGCAATTTCATCTGTCCGACGGAGCGGCTGACGCCCAACGGCTGGCGCAGCGTCACCGACATCGTCCTGAACGGGACGGCGTTCGTCACGCTGGAGCTGGGCAAGAGGCTGATCCGGGCCCAGAAAGGTCCGAACCAGAACCGGGACCGGAACCAGAAGCTGAGCCGTTCTAACCGTCTTCTTGTGTCTCAGGCGCCTCGTTCCTCGCCATCACCACCGTCTACGCTGAGTCCGGTTCTGGGTTCGTGGTTCCGAGTGCGGCGGCGAAGGCCGGCGTCGAGGCGCTGTACAAGTCAGTCGGACACAGATGCGTTGCCGTGGCCCTGGCGTTGCCGTGGTAACTGTGCGGCTCTCGCCCGCAGGTCTCTGGCTGCAGAGTGGGGGCGCTATGGACACAGGTTCAACGTCATCCAGCCTGGACCAATCAGGACCAAGGTACCATTCCCTGGGCTGGTGCCATGGTGCCCAGGCCTTGAACCTTGACCTTTCAAGCCCTTTGTTGTGATATGACTTGCAGTCATTAGTGAGTTTTATTGCTGAGATTCTGCTGGATTAAACTGACGGACCTGGTTAGAACCCGTTCTGGTTCTGGTTCTGTTCAGGGAGCCTTCAGCCGTCTGGACCCAACTGGAAGTTTTGAGATGTCGATGATCGATCGGATTCCGACGGGTCGGCTCGGAAAACCAGCCGAGCTCGCCAACCTGGCAGCGTACCTGAGCAGCGACTTCGCCAGCTGGATGTCTGGAGCTGTGAGTTCTGACCCGTTTCTGACCAGAACCGACCAGAGTCAGTCTTTTTAAAGGAAAAATGGTTTGCGCTTAAATTAGTTTATTAGAAGAAAATAATGGCTTTACATTCAGTAGGTGAAGAAAATGCTAAAATATATTCATCACCAACGCTCTGAACACACAACAGAACCTGTCCAGAACCAGAACAACTGGACAGGTGAGACACCTGTCTCAACTGCTTCCATGATGAGGTCATAGGTCATGACCTGCTCTGATTAGACAAAGAGAAGATTTTTTTATCACGATTTCTCTGAACGTCCATCTTGGTAGCCAAACGCTGCACAAAGCGTAGATGAACTAAATGGGGACGTTCCTGAGCAACCGAGACAAAGACACGTGAACAAAATGGCTGCTGCCCAATTGTTGTCATAGCAACACCATGCAAACTTTTTAGGCTACCTACCAAAATGGCCGTCGGCCGTCTCGATACGGAGTCGTCAGTATTCACATGAGAAGGATGTATTTCCAAAGATGAAAAGATGTGACCTGCGTTCTCAGGTGATCCGTTTCGATGGCGGCGAATTCGTGTCGATGGCGGGAGAATTTAACGAGCTGCGCAAGGTGAGTGGCGCCGCTCACCTGTCTCACGACTGAAACTACGTCCAGAACAGACTCTCAGAAAGTAACTGATTACTGATTACTTGATTTGGAAAGTAACTAAGTTACATTAAAAGTAACTTTTCAGTTACTTTCAGCAGCTGCTAACAACAACACAATGATAATCAATCACATTGATCTTTGCCAATAATTCACTGTAAGATATTTCATATTGTAACATCAACAATGTTTCTCCACTGATCAGGTTAAAGGTTAAACTCGACACTCATTCAGTCTCAAGCCTCTTTAAAGTCACTTTAATCTTGGGACGTGAAACTCTAACCCTCCCTCCGGTGTTTGCATTTCTGTGGACGCCGTCGCGTAGAAACGGCGATCACTGGACAAGACGAAGACAGTTACTGTTAGCAACACGTTACTGATGACATCACTGCTCATGTCTTCGTCCTCCAGGTGACTCCAGATCAGTGGGACACTTTGGAGGCCATGATCAGAGGTACAAAGGGGTCGTAATGCTGACAGCTGATTGGACCACAGAGGCCCCGCCTCTGCTGATATCTCTACATCTGATTGGTTAATAATTGTACCTAATGCGGTACATTATCTGCTTCTTTGATAATAAAATATGAAATCAGAAGCTTCATGTTTTATTCTCTGCTGGCTCTCAGAAAGTTCTGGAGGTTCTAAAGACGCCTGGAGACCAAAGAAGGTTCTTCAATTTTATTGAGAACAGAAATGGACTGGAGACCAGGAGCAGCTCCAGGTGTGTGTCTCAGTGTGTGTTGATGTTCTGCTGACAGCGGCCAATCAGAGTGGAGACCAGCTTCTGCAGAAGCTCCGCCCTCATCTTACAGATCTCCAGAACCTCATCATGGTTCACCTTTTCCTCACGGCTGTAGTCCAGAGACACCTGAAGACAGACAGGCAGAGACAGGTGAGGACAGGCAGAGACAGGTGAGGACAGATAGAGACAGGTGAGGGCAGGCAGAGACAGGTGAGGACAGATAGAGACAGGTGAGGACAGGCAGAGACAGGTGAGGGCAGGCAGAGACAGGTGAGGACAGATAGAGACAGGTGAGGACAGGCAGAGACAGGTGAGGGCAGGCAGAGACAGGTGAGGACAGATAGAGACAGGTGAGGACAGGCAGAGACAGGTGAGGGCAGGCAGAGACAGGTGAGGACAGATAGAGACAGGTGAGGGCAGGCAGAGACAGGTGAGGACAGATAGAGACAGGTGAGGACAGGCAGAGACAGGTGAGGGCAGGCAGAGACAGGTGAGGACAGATAGAGACAGGTGAGGACAGGCAGAGACAGGTGAGGGCAGGCAGAGACAGGTGAGGACAGATAGAGACAGGTGAGGACAGGCAGAGACAGGTGAGGGCAGGCAGAGACAGGTGAGGACAGATAGAGACAGGTGAGGGCAGGCAGAGACAGGTGAGGACAGATAGAGACAGGTGAGGACAGGCAGAGACAGGTGAGGGCAGGCAGAGACAGGTGAGGACAGATAGAGACAGGTGAGGACAGGCAGAGACAGGTGAGGGCAGGCAGAGACAGGTGAGGGCAGGCAGAGACAGGTGAGGACAGATAGAGACAGGTGAGGACAGGCAGAGACAGGTGAGGGCAGGCAGAGACAGGTGAGGACAGATAGAGACAGGTGAGGGCAGGCAGAGACAGGTGAGGGCAGGCAGAGACAGGTGAGGACAGATAGAGACAGGTGAGGACAGGCAGAGACAGGTGAGGGCAGGCAGAGACAGGTGAGGACAGATAGAGACAGGTGAGGACAGGCAGAGACAGGTGAGGACAGGCAGAGACAGGTGAGGACAGATAGAGACAGGTGAGGACAGGCAGAGACAGGTGAGGACAGATAGAGACAGGTGAGGACAGATAGAGACAGGTGAGGACAGATAGACAGGTGAGGACAGGCAGAGACAGGTGAGGACAGATAGACAGGTGAGGACAGGCAGAGACAGGTGAGGACAGATAGAGACAGGTGAGGGCAGGCAGAGACAGGTGAGGACAGATAGAGACAGGTGAGGGCAGGCAGAGACAGGTGAGGACAGATAGAGACAGGTGAGGACAGGCAGAGACAGGTGAGGGCAGATAGAGACAGGTGAGGACAGGCAGAGACAGGTGAGGGCAGGCAGAGACAGGTGAGGACAGATAGAGACAGGTGAGGACAGGCAGAGACAGGTGAGGGCAGGCAGAGACAGGTGAGGACAGATAGAGACAGGTGAGGACAGGCAGGCAGACAGGTGAGGGCAGGCAGAGACAGGTGAGGGCAGGCAGAGACAGGTGAGGACAGATAGAGACAGGTGAGGACAGGCAGAGACAGGTGAGGGCAGGCAGAGACAGGTGAGGACAGATAGAGACAGGTGAGGACAGGCAGAGACAGGTGAGGGCAGGCAGAGACAGGTGAGGACAGGCAGAGACAGGTGAGGACAGATAGAGACAGGTGAGGACAGGCAGAGACAGGTGAGGGCAGGCAGAGACAGGTGAGGACAGGCAGAGACAGGTGAGGACAGACAGAGACAGGTGAGGACAGATAGAGACAGGTGAGGACAGATAGACAGGTGAGGACAGGCAGAGACAGGTGAGGACAGATAGACAGGTGAGGACAGGCAGAGACAGGTGAGGACAGATAGAGACAGGTGAGGGCAGGCAGAGACAGGTGAGGACAGATAGAGACAGGTGAGGGCAGGCAGAGACAGGTGAGGACAGATAGACAGGTGAGGACAGATAGAGACAGGTGAGGACAGGCAGAGACAGGTGAGGACAGATAGAGACAGGTGAGGACAGGCAGAGACAGGTGAGGACAGATAGAGACAGGTGAGGACAGGCAGAGACAGGTGAGGGCAGGCAGAGACAGGTGAGGACAGATAGAGACAGGTGAGGACAGGCAGAGACAGGTGAGGGCAGGCAGAGACAGGTGAGGACAGGCAGAGACAGGTGAGGACAGACAGAGACAGGTGAGGACAGATAGAGACAGGTGAGGACAGATAGACAGGTGAGGACAGGCAGAGACAGGTGAGGACAGATAGACAGGTGAGGACAGGCAGAGACAGGTGAGGACAGATAGAGACAGGTGAGGACAGATAGAGACAGGTGAGGGCAGGCAGAGACAGGTGAGGACAGATAGACAGGTGAGGGCAGGAGAGACAGGTGAGGACAGATAGAGACAGGTGAGGGCAGGCAGAGACAGGTGAGGACAGATAGACAGGTGAGGACAGATAGAGACAGGTGAGGACAGGCAGAGACAGGTGAGGACAGATAGAGACAGGTGAGGACAGGCAGAGACAGGTGAGGACAGATAGAGACAGGTGAGGGCAGGCAGAGACAGGTGAGGACAGATAGACAGGTGAGGACAGGACAGTGTCTCCTGTCAGAGACCTTGTTGGTGACGAGGGTCAAACCCAGGACTCTGAGTCCGCAGTGTTTCGCCACGGTGACTTCAGGGACCATGGACATTCCTGGACAGACAAGCGGACGTCACTATGGCTTCAAACCATCAACAAAAATTTCCTGTTGGGAATTTTCAGCGTTTCCATAAAAACAATCCTCATCTTGTTCAGCTGAATATCAGGAATATGATCATATTAACACATTTAATATGTATTCTGAAGACATTGATCAGAAACAGTTCAGTCCAAACGTCCGTCGAGCCAAAGCGTCTTCTGGTCTCCGTCGCCACATTTCCAGAGACGAGCTAGCGTTAGCATTAGCCACGACGACGCACTGTCCCTCACTGACACAGGACACCGGTGTCTGTCCTGCTTCACAGGGGCGTGGCCTAGTCAAAGCATGGCTCTGTGAGTCACAGCGTCTTCATTCCAGCATCTTCTGGCTGTTTGTTGGGTCAAAATCGTCCATCTGGTTTTTCTCTCCACTTTCAGATTCATGATTCTGATCAGATTCTGACAGTCCATAGAACCGGATTCAGATCCAGAACCGGATCGCAGGGAGACGCGGCTTCTGTCTTCAGATCCAACATAAACAAGTTCAGTTCAGTATAGTTCACTATAAAGGTTTGAAAAGAACCAGAACCGAACCTTTGGATGGTTCTGGTTCTTGTACTGTTGGACATTGAGCTTTAATAGATTCATGATGTTCTGGTCCTGGTCGACCCGTTTGAGCTCCATCTGGGCCTCATGCATAAAACGCTGCGCGGTTTTCACTGAACTTGGAGTAGGACAAACAGAGACAGAGGACAGAGGTCAGAGGTCGTGCAGATTTCAGGGGATTCAGGCCCGGATTATTGTCCACAGAGAAAGTTTGGTGGCTGCTGCACATTTTCACCACAGTTTGCGTTTATTTACACCAACATATTGACTTGTCTGTAAAATATGGAACTGCACAGTTTGTGTGTCCACAGGTTTTACACGAGGCCTCTGGACCCCAGAGCAAAACGACAACCTGTGACGTTCAGAGAGACGAACCCCAAACACGAAGACATCAACCGCAGACGATTGAAGGACAATCTCACCAGGACATTACGTCCAGAACCACGCTGCTCCTGTCTTACCCACGCAGTCGCAGCCCAGCGTCAGCAGCATGCGGGCCTCCGCGATGGTCTCGAAGTTGGGTCCGCTCACCATGCAGTAGACGCCGGTGCGGACGCTGCAGCCGAGTTCAGAGGCCACGTCCAGCGCCAGCGTCCGCAGTGCTTTGCTGTAGGCGTCCGACATGCAGGGGAATCGCGTCCCGAACCTGGATGTGGGACGGAGGACAGGTTTACCGTGACGGACGGCGGTTGGAGCTCCGGTCGGCGCGTCGCGGCGCCTCACCGCTCGTCGTTGGGTCCGCACAGAGGGTGCTGGCCGGCAAAACCTGGCAGGTTGATGTGATCCCGGATCACCATGATGTCCCCGACCTTGAAGTCCGGACAGATCCCCCCCGAGGCGTTGGTCACCAGGACGGAGTCCACTCCCAGCAGCTTGAAGATCCGAACTGGGAAGGTCACCTGGCGGTGAGCGGCGTTAACGCAAAGACAAAACTCTCAAGGAGCAAAACTTTCTTTGGACATAGAGGTTAGAGTTAACCATAGGCACCCACCCGCCCCAGTGCATGCTGGGTAGCAATGAGGACGACTCACCTGGCAGAGGGAGTAACCTTCGTACAGGTGGAAGTGTCCCTTCATGAAGACACAGGGCGTCTCCTCGATGGTCCCGAACACCAGGCAGCCTTCATGGCCTGGGACTGGAAGCAGACTGCGGTTACCATGGCAACAGCTCAGACAGCCTGAGATTAGCCAGGCGCTAACAGGATGTGAGGTAGGAGAAAAGGGGCGGGGCTTGAGGGAGGCGGGAAGATGGAGGACAAATGGCTATGCATCATAAATTTATGAATTTAATTTAGTTTCATCAAGAATCCAGTCTAGATTCAGTGATCAGTTCATTTCTACCACCTGACCACTGGGATTACTGGGATTACTGGGATTACTGGGATTACTGGGTTTACTGGGATTACTGGGATTACTGGGTTTACTGGGATTACTGGGATTACTGGGATTACTGGGTTTACTGGGATTACTGGGATTACTGGGTTTACTGGGTTTACTGGGTTTACTGGGATTACTGGGTTTACTGGGATTACTGGGTTTACTGGGTTTACTGGGTTTACTGGGATTACTGGGTTTACTGGGATTACTGGGTTACTGGGTTTACTGGGATTACTGGGATTACTGGGATTACTGGGTTTACTGGGATTACTGGGATTACTGGGTTTACTGGGATTACTGGGATTACTGGGATTACTGGGTTTACTGGGATTACTGGGATTACTGGGTTTACTGGGATTACTGGGTTTACTGGGTTTACTGGGTTTACTGGGATTAGTGGGTTTACTGGGATTACTGGGATTACTGGGTTTACTGGGATTACTGGGTTTACTGGGATTACTGGGTTTACTGGGATTACTGGGTTTACTGGGATTATTGGGATTACTGGGTTTACTGGGATTACTGGGATTACTGGGTTTACTGGGATTACTGGGTTTACTGGGTTTACTGGGATTACTGGGTTTACTGGGATTACTGGGTTTACTGGGTTTACTGGGATTACTGGGTTTACTGGGTTTGGTGGGATTACTGGGTTTACTGGGATTACTGGGTTTACTGGGCTTCCTGGGTTTACTGGGATTACTGGGTTTACTGGGATTACTGGGTTTACTGGGTTTGGTGGGATTACTGGGTTTACTGGGATTACTGGGTTTACTGGGATTACTGGGTTTACTGGGATTACTGGGTTTACTGGGATTATTGGGATTACTGGGTTTACTGGGATTACTGGGTTTACTGGGATTACTGGGTTTACTGGGATTACTGGGTTTACTGGGTTTACTGGGATTACTGGGTTTACTGGGATTACTGGGTTTACTGGGATTACTGGGTTTACTGGGATTACTGGGTTTACTGGGTTTGGTGGGATTACTGGGTTTACTGGGATTACTGGGTTTACTGGGTTTGGTGGGATTACTGGGTTTACTGGGATTACTGGGTTTACTGGGCTTCCTGGGTTTACTGGGATTACTGGGTTTACTGGGATTATTGGGTTTACTGGGTTTACTGGGCTTACTGGGTTTACTGGGCTTACTGGGTTTACTGGGATTACTGGGTTTACTGGGATTACTGGGTTTACTGGGATTATTGGGTTTACTGGGATTACTGGGTTTGGTGGGTTTACTGGGATTACTGGGTTTACTGGGATTATTGGGTTTACTGGGATTATTGGGTTTACTGGGTTTACTGGGATTACTGGGATTACTGGGTTTACTGGGATTACTGGGTTTACTGGGATTACTGGGTTTACTGGGTTTACTGGGATTACTGGGTTTACTGGGTTTACTGGGATTACTGGGTTTACTGGGTTTACTGGGATTACTGGGTTTACTGGGATTACTGGGATTACTGGGTTTACTGGGATTACTGGGTTTACTGGGTTTACTGGGATTACTGGGATTACTGGGATTACTGGGTTTACTGGGATTACTGGGTTTACTGGGATTACTGGGTTTACTGGGTTTGGTGGGATTACTGGGTTTACTGGGATTACTGGGTTTACTGGGCTTCCTGGGTTTACTGGGATTACTGGGTTTACTGGGATTACTGGGTTTACTGGGTTTGGTGGGATTACTGGGTTTACTGGGATTACTGGGTTTACTGGGATTACTGGGTTTACTGGGATTATTGGGATTACTGGGTTTACTGGGATTACTGGATTACTGGGTTTACTGGGATTACTGGGTTTACTGGGTTTACTGGGATTACTGGGTTTACTGGGATTACTGGGTTTACTGGGATTACTGGGTTTACTGGGATTACTGGGTTTACTGGGTTTGGTGGGATTACTGGGTTTACTGGGATTACTGGGTTTACTGGGATTACTGGGTTTACTGGGATTACTGGGTTTACTGGGATTATTGGGATTACTGGGTTTACTGGGATTACTGGGTTTACTGGGATTACTGGGTTTACTGGGATTACTGGGTTTACTGGGTTTACTGGGATTACTGGGTTTACTGGGATTACTGGGTTTACTGGGTTTGGTGGGATTACTGGGTTTACTGGGATTACTGGGTTTACTGGGCTTCCTGGGTTTACTGGGATTACTGGGTTTACTGGGATTATTGGGTTTACTGGGTTTACTGGGCTTACTGGGTTTACTGGGCTTACTGGGTTTACTGGGATTACTGGGTTTACTGGGATTACTGGGTTTACTGGGATTATTGGGTTTACTGGGATTACTGGGTTTGGTGGGTTTACTGGGATTACTGGGTTTACTGGGATTATTGGGTTTACTGGGATTATTGGGTTTACTGGGTTTACTGGGATTACTGGGATTACTGGGTTTACTGGGATTACTGGGTTTACTGGGATTACTGGGTTTACTGGGTTTACTGGGATTACTGGGTTTACTGGGTTTACTGGGATTACTGGGTTTACTGGGTTTACTGGGATTACTGGGTTTACTGGGATTACTGGGATTACTGGGTTTACTGGGATTACTGGGTTTACTGGGTTTACTGGGATTACTGGGTTTACTGGGATTACTGGGATTACTGGGTTTACTGGGATTACTGGGTTTACTGGGATTACTGGGTTTACTGGGTTTGGTGGGATTACTGGGTTTACTGGGATTACTGGGTTTACTGGGCTTCCTGGGTTTACTGGGATTACTGGGTTTACTGGGATTACTGGGTTTACTGGGTTTGGTGGGATTACTGGGTTTACTGGGATTACTGGGTTTACTGGGATTACTGGGTTTACTGGGATTATTGGGATTACTGGGTTTACTGGGATTACTGGGATTACTGGGTTTACTGGGATTACTGGGTTTACTGGGTTTACTGGGATTACTGGGTTTACTGGGATTACTGGGTTTACTGGGTTTACTGGGATTACTGGGTTTACTGGGATTACTGGGATTACTGGGTTTACTGGGATTACTGGGTTTACTGGGATTACTGGGTTTACTGGGTTTGGTGGGATTACTGGGTTTACTGGGATTACTGGGTTTACTGGGCTTCCTGGGTTTACTGGGATTACTGGGTTTACTGGGATTATTGGGTTTACTGGGTTTACTGGGCTTACTGGGTTTACTGGGATTACTGGGTTTACTGGGATTACTGGGTTTACTGGGATTATTGGGTTTACTGGGATTACTGGGTTTGGTGGGTTTACTGGGATTACTGGGTTTACTGGGATTATTGGGTTTACTGGGATTATTGGGTTTACTGGGTTTACTGGGATTACTGGGTTTACTGGGTTTACTGGGATTACTGGGTTTACTGGGATTACTGGGTTTGGTGGGTTTACTGGGATTACTGGGTTTACTGGGATTATTGGGTTTACTGGGTTTACTGGGATTACTGGGTTTACTGGGTTTGGTGTAGCATCCAATCAGAGCGCAGGCGAGACCTGCCAAAAGACTCATGATGAACAAAGTACCAGGATGGATTCTACCCTTAACCGTCACGCCCTGGATGAGAGGCTGGATTCCTCACCAGCAGGTGGCGCTAACATATTGGGCTAATGCTATCCCGCAAATAGCAAGAATGAGAACAACCACTCACGCCGTGACCCCGCCCACTCACGCCGTGACCCCGCCCACTCACGCCGTGACCCCGCCCACTCACCTGTACTGACAGGGAAGTTGGGGATGTCCTGGTACCTGAAGGTTTGCTTGTCAGCGGCGGCTTCGGCCAGCAGGCCGAGTCCGGACCCGCATATCACGGCCACTTTGGGTCGGTGCCGGGTCTGGTTCTGGAGCCATTCGGTGGTCAGCTTGTAGTCATCAAAGGAGTAGCAGCTGGAAGTGGGTCAGACCAACAGAATCAAGTTCTGTTCTGCAGTCAGCGTTAATTGGACCGGCTTCAGAACCTGTTCAGCCTGGACCACCTGGTCTACAGAACTAAACAGAACCAACAGAACCTGTCTGTCTCACCAGGAGCTTCCTCTGCTGAGCATCGTCAGGCTGGAGAGTCACCAGGAGGAAGAGGAGGAGGAGGTCAGAGTCCTCTCCTCTGATTGGCTGATTTCAGCCTCACAAACACTCTGGTGCATTGACTCCATGTGTGTTTGCCCTTTGACCTCTACAGTTTGTTCAGCCAGAACTGCCAATCAGGTGAGCTCAGCTGGCCCACTGCAGACCTGGTTCTGGTTCTGACCCAGCACAGGTCGGTACGGGTCAGAAGTGGTTCTGCAGGGACGGAACCAAGCGGACCCATCAGAACCATGAGTTCTAGTTCAGTTTAGGATGAAAATGTTTCATCTGTTGAATCAAATTTGTTTGGTTTGTTTTATCTACAAACAGAGAAATTAGAAAGCAGAGCCCAATAGTTTTTCATATTTTGATTTACAGAAAACTTCATGATCTGAATTTGATATTTATTGTCTCCAGTCTGTCTCCAGTCTGTCCACCAGTCTGAGGAGGAAGAGGAGCAGCGTTCTCCTCTGCGGCTCCAGACCAGCAGGGTGTGTGTCTGTATGTGTGTGTGTGTGGGTGTGTGTCTGTGTGTGTGTGTGTGTTGTGTGTGTGTCTGTGTGTGTGTGTATGTGTGTGTGTGTGTGTGTCTGTGTGTGTGTGTGTGTGTGTGTGTGTGTGTGTGTGTGTGTGTGTGTGTGTGTGTGTGTGTGTGTGTCTGTGTGTGTGTGTATGTGTGTGTGTCTGTGTGTGTGTGTGTGTGTGTGTGTGTGTGTGTGTGTGTGTGTGTGTGTGTGTGTGTGTGTGTGTGTGTGTGTGGGAACCTTCTGCAGGAATTCAGCTCTGGTTGTCATAGAAACTGGGATTCTACAATAGCAACAGTGTGTGTGTATGTGTGTGTATGTGTGTGTGCTCTGCAGTATTTTATTTTTAACTTCAGCAGCTCAGTGATCAGGTTGACGCTCCATCGGTCCGAAGGCGCTTTGTGACATCACCAGGTGATCCATGACCCGCGTTGTCCCAGTGACCTCTAGCTGACCTGCAGGTCCTAATCGGATCCTGATCCTCCTTCCAACTGATTGGGTCAGGACCAGAACTTTCCCTCCAGGGTTCAACATCCCATCTGAAGGCAGCTGGAATCTGACTCCCCGCCAGCAGGGGGCGCCTCTCCATCGCTGTCATCTTTGCAGAACCTGTGCTGTTGCTGCCGGCTCCAGGTTCTGGTTCTGCCACAGGACTCCTGGGTCCACAGAAGGTGTTCAACTCCTCAATTCTTCAGGCTGAGCATCAGAATCCGGGTCAGAACCAGAACTGGATCCAGGAAGACCTGTCTGGCCCATCGCTGCTCTCTGCTGCCACCTGGAGGCGCAGCTCCAAACGGGACACACGATCCGATTGGTCGTGTGTCGGTAGTCACGTACTTCTGCTACTGGCACTCGCTCCCTTTGCCGCCCCCTGCTGGACGCAGAGGGAACTGCAGTTCTGCTGAGTTCTGGTTCTGGATGTTTCCGCGCCTGGACCAGAAGTCTTCGGCAGGCACCAGGAAGTGAGTGTTGCTATGGAGACAGTAAGGCTGCTTCCTGATCAGCTCAGATCTGACTGAGCTCTAAGGGTTAATTAGGGCTGGGAGGAAGAGGAGGAGGAAGAGGAGGAGGAGGAAGAGGAAGAGTCGCGCAGCGGCTCCGTCAGTCGGTTGGAACCAGCTGAGGAAGAGGAGGAAGCCGCTTCTTCAGCTGCGGTAAGACGAGCCTTCCTCCTCTTCATCCCTCCATCCTTCTTCATCTTCATCAGCCCCTTCATCTTCATCATCACATGCAACAGTGTGCGCGTGCCCGTGGTTCTGCTCGTGCAAATGGTGCTGAATAAACAACGTTCATCTCCTTCCTGCGTGCGTGTGAGCGCGCGCGATGCTGCAGTCAATTCACGCGCACGCGCTCGTGCAGGCGCTGAGTAAATATAGAAAGTGATGCGTCAGAGTGGCGCGGTGACGTAGCAACGGTGACGGCGCATTCCTTCACAGCTTCATCATCATCATCATCTGGTGACTGATGAAACACACGCAGGTCAGGGCGCGTGCTGATCCGGATCAATACTGCAGCTCCCAGTCTGACCAGTAAGAGACCAGTGACGAGCAATGAAGGCAGTTACCATGGCAACACCGGTTGGATGGATGAACGGTTTGTTGGATGAATGTTGGATGGCTGGACTGACTTTGTTCTGTACTAAGCAGAAGAAGAAATTCTACCGTAGTGTTAATTGACAGCGCGCCCTCTGTGGCCGAAATGGGAAGTGCATGACCTGTAGCAAAGGACATCAGCTGCTCAGACATTCAAGACCATCATCTCATGACGACGATGATGATGATGATGATGATGGACCTGCAGAGCAGCTGGGATGACTCCTGCATCACCATCTGATGATGTCACTGATCATTCCAACCAATCAGACGGCAGCAGTCTTCTCTGTCTCCCTAGATGTTCATGTCTATGTACCGTGTCTTTCGCCTGCAGGTCATGTGACTTCAGAGAGGATGTCCAGTCTTGAGTGAGCTTCCAGTGGACGGCAGGTGTAGGAGAGGCAAAGGATCATGGGAGATGGAGGGCCCCTGCAGACGGAGGGGAACGCTCTCCTCAAAGCTGTGTTCCAGGGAAAGCTGCGCCTCGCCCGGCTGCTGCTGGAGGGCGGAGCCTACATCAATGAAGGCAACGAACGGGGAGAGACACCCATCTCCGCCGCCTGCCTGGGGAGCTATGACGACCCACAGACCCGCCAGAGGATGGTCCGCTACCTACTGGAGAAAGGCGCTGACCCCAACATCCCAGACAAGAGCGGCCGCACGGCGCTGATGCATGCCTGCGCCGAGCGAGCAGGGCGAGAGGTGGTGACCCTACTGCTGGAGAACGGGGCAGATCCCAGCCTCAGAGACTACGCCGGTGCCTCTGCTCTGGTCCACGCCATCAACAGGGGAGACCGCGACACGCTGCAGGTGCTGCTGGACGCCTGCAAGGCCAGGGGCAAGGAGGTGATCATTATCACTACTGACACATCTCCATCAGGCACCAAGAAGACCAAGCAGTACCTGAACTCGCCACCCTCTCCCGGCATCGTGGACAAACTGTCCCCTGCTTGCATGTCTCCTTCAGAAGTGGAGATCGCCACTGCGTCACCTGCAGGGTACAGGAGCAATGGCGAGGAGGGCATCTTCAGCTTCGCGCTCACCTCAGCCTTACCTCTGCCTTCGGCTCGGCCTCCAGGTGAGAAGCGGCCCCCGCCTCGGAAGCTCTTGAAGAGGCTGAACTCGGAGCCCTGGGGCCTGGTGGCACCCTCGGTGGTGAGCGGAGTTCCTCCTGACCGGCTGGACCCGGGTCTAGAGGAAGAGGCCAGCAGCGATCTGAGCAGAGCCACCGCCGGGATGAACGGTCTATCCATCTCGGAGCCGGTCCGGACTCGGTTGTCACGCCGACACAGCATCGAGACGCACGACCCCTGTTCTCCCAAATCCATCGACCGGTCCTGCTCCGAAGACTGCACCGGCCTTTCTGCCACGTCCTGGGCTGACAAGGTGCAGCAGCACCAGATCCTGTACCGGAGAAACACGGCCCCTGAGCCCCAGGAGAATGGGGGGCCTGGGGGGCCTGGGGCTATCCGGCTCCTGGTGCACCCTAAACTGAGCCGCATGGAGCACTACGAATCTGACACTCATCTTTGTCCAGAGTCCATCCCTGGCTCACCGGACTCTGGGCGGGTGTCAGTGGAACGGCGACGGTATAACGCCTCCCCGTTATCCCTGGTGACCAGCTCATCCAGGGAGTCTCTGGAGAACATCCCCAACTCGGTGTCGCCCATCACCATGCGCCGTCGGCCCCCGGGTCTGCTGGAGCGCCGCGGGTCCGGTACGCTGCTGCTGGACCACATCTCCCACACCAGGCCCGGCTTCCTGCCTCCTCTCAACATCAACCCCCACAGACCCATTCCCGACATTCGAGCCAATGGAAAACCCACCTCCCCCATTCACAGCGGACACAAGGTCCTGGTTCCCATGGCCCCGATATCTCCCAAGCGGGGCCCCGAATTCAAGATGAAGAAGAAGCTGATGAGGAGGCACTCCATGCAGACAGAGCAGATGAAGCAGCTCTCCAGCTTCCAGGAGATCCTGGCTGAGAAGGTGGTTGAGTCCAATGGGGACTGATGATAGCAGGCAACAAAGCATGATGGGTACCTGCTGAGTCCGAGCTAACACCAGGTCCTGTTGACTGAGGTGAGCTTTGTTTGACACCACCTGACTGGATCAGTTCTGTTCACTGAGGTTTGGGTCGAAGGGATGGTTCTGATCCAATGGGATGTTCCCTGCAGCTGTCAGAGTGGTACTTTTGGGGAATCAGAACTTTTCCCCATCTAAAACTTCAACTTGGAGGTACGTTTGATTCAGAGATGGTCCCGTAAGACGACATTTTGGTGCTGGACACTTGACAACCAGGCGGGTCACAGGGAAGAGGAGGACTAGAACCTTTCAGACCAAACCCTCCAAGATCCGGCCAGTGGTCAACTCTGGGTTCTGGTGGTATCATCGTCTCCAAGAGTTAAGGGTGGTCCTCGAAAGACACACCATCCAAGGTATGGAGAAATGAATGAACCTCCTCACATCACTGTGTTCTGGATCAGAACCGGTCCTGTAATGTAACTGGGTCGATTTCTCTGACGTGGATGATCTTCAGGACCTCTCCAGCTAGGATCAGAGGCCGCATGAGTGCAGGGAAGGTGCTGAGCTGTTCAGAACCAGAACTCTGGTGCAGGTTTCCTGCAGAGCTCAGCAAGAACCTGAGGAAAGGCTGATGCAGGTGAGGTGAACCTTAACCCCTGAGGACCAGAGGCACTTCTGGGCCAGAACCAAACTCTACAAGAACTTTTTTAACAACCTCAAACCATGACAGAGTAACTAAACCCCAAAATCGACTTGATTTTGCTGGTAAACTATAACCGGTTCTTCAGGGTTCTGTCTTTATTTTTTTGTGCGTTTTCATGCAAATTTGTTTAATTCTGCGTTTTTTTGTTTTTGTCTAAAACCCTCATTAGGTTGAAGCTGCTGCAGTGGGTTTGTCCTGTTGGTTCCCCTCCCTCGTCCCCAGACTTGGCTCCGCCCACATTGGTGTTATTTTCATGAATTTGTCAGAGGGTGCAACTGTCTGTTAGACTTTAAATCAGCCTGAAGGTGGCGCTTTTGTCCTGTTGCGCTTCACAAACTGATTTCAACGGTTTGCTGATGTTCAAAGATTGGCCCTGCTGGTCACAGCAGCGTCACCTACAGGTTCACAGATCTCAAGTCAGTTTTCGTCTGCAGCTTGGGTTAGGCTGAAACTAAATCTGACACTTATTTCAATGATTGAACTGAAAAATGTACCTGTTATTTTACAGACTTCTTCCAGATTGAATAAGTCTGGAGTGTTTCAGTTCATGTAGATCAGGGGTCAAACTCCAGCCCTGGGGGGTCGCTGGCTGCCCTGCAACCTTTAGCTGAGCCTCTGCTGCACCTGAATAGAAAAATGAGGTCATGAAGGTCAGATCCAAACAAGAGGAGATGAAGCCGTTTTATTCCAGTGTTTTGTATCTGAGGCTCATCTAAAACATGGAGGACTGGAGTTCGACTCCTGTGACGTTGACGTTCTGGTTTCGCTGAAACCTGAGAAAATCAGATCAGACCAATAAATAAAGTACTTTGATCCAAAGCTTTTCTGTAATGGATGGAAAACTGAGTGGAAGGGAAAAGTGTGAGGACCAAATGGAACGAGGTTTTAGAGATGTTTTCTGATTGGCTGTCCCAGCAGGACTTGGTACCAGTTCTGATTCTCCTGCAGCTCATGTTGCTGAAGGAACACAACAAGCTGACGCGCCGCGGTTCTGATGGACAGAGACCCGGTTCTTTCGGATCAACAGTTAGAAAATAAAACTTTCATCCAAGGAAACGCTGATTTCTGGGTCGGTCAGAAACCAACAGAATAATTTCAGAACATCACGTCCAACGACCCAAACCCAACCACCAGGTCAGAAACTTGCTGAGGACACAAACTGCGAAACATCAAGACGTTTTATTGAAGATTAAAATGTTCCTTTAGACAGGAAGTGACATCATGGCTACAGATCACCACTCAATAACGTTGCCATCACTAAAGTGACCAATGAAATCTGTCCAACTGAACTAAGCTCCGCCCACAGACGATTTTGCAGGAAGTGCATCAGATTTTCAAAATAAAGCTTCAGTTTGCATCCGTTGTTAGCGTCTTGTAGCTTACACAGATAGGCGAGTAAGAGGAGAGGGCTCACTCTGATCAAGTCCTCAGATGCACCAGTGGAAACTTTAAAGTGCAAAGATCAGTGAAGCAGGATGTATTACTATGGACCAAATAATATAGTGTGATCTAGAACAAAGATATGTGTTTGGGCAGATGACTCACTCTGCTTAAGTTGACTAATTCGGAGTGTTAAAAAAACGCTGAAACAGACAGTAGTAGTAGAACAGAGGTCTCACTCTGATGTACCTTGAGGTCCATAAGAGTTTTATACAGAGATAGTGTAGAACAGAGGTCTCACTCTGATGTACCTTGAGGTCCATAAGAGTTTTATACAGAGATAGTGTAGAACAGAGGTCTCACTCTGATGTACCTTGAGGTCCATAAGAGTTTTATACAGAGATAGTGTAGAACAGAGGTCTCACTCTGATCAAACAGTGACAAATAGAGATAGGAGTAAAACAGAAGCCTCACTCTGATACATACTGAGGCACATTTTAAACAACAGATAGTAGTGGAGAACAGATGTCTCACTCCAGACAAAATGGCAACAGGTTTTCATTTAGTCAAGCAGTGAGACACCAGACAAAGATAGGAGTGAGAAGAGAGAGCGTTTGTTGGTTTATTTTTTGAAGAACTTCTTGTTGAGCAGGAAGATGAGCAGATTGACGTTGACTTTGGCTTTATCGAACATCTTCATCACCGCCACGCCCCTCGTACTGCAGCTGCAGCAGATCCTGGGCACAAAACACAGCAGCTGGAGCGTGGTGGAACCAGAACCAGAACCAGGACCAGGCAGAACTGCACTGGGTCACTGTCACTCCACAAGAATCCCACAAAAAAAGTTAATATTTCAGAAACTTCTGTTCAGGTTTTCTCTGCCCATTAATTAATATAGTTGCTGAAACTCGTTAATCTTTGGATCTAAAGATGTTGAGAGCAAACATTGCCATTTTGTTCAGTCTGAGATGTTTTCCTAATGTCAGGCAGACCTGGTCTGTGTTCTGGTTCTGACCCGGTTCTGGTGGTACCTGGTATCGGAGCAGGAAGTCCTCCATCTGGACGCCCAGGAAGCGGGCGCTGACGCTGAAGCTTCCCGTCTCTGGCGGGTGTGATGTCGAAGACGACGTTCCTGAACCTGGAAGAGGTCATAAGGTCAGCATGGTGGTGACGTCATCGTGATGTCACGCTCTGTGTGTCCCGCCTCACTGTGTGGCTGGAAGGTCCTCGATCTCCAGCAGCACTCCCTTCTCCTGCAGCCGGGCGGCGCTGTAGCTCACAGCAGGAAGCTTCTTCTTCCCTCTGCTCTCTGCTGCGTTCCTATTGGTCCCTTTGCTGCAACAGAACAACCGATGACGGCGCCGTCGGGGCCTGAGAACCGATCGGGTCTCTGGAAGTGCGGCGTGTCGTCTCACCTGCCGGTGGTCAGGTAGTCCAGACAGGAAGTGATGTAATGCCTGTAGAAGTCGACCTGCTGGCAGTGGAAGCTGCTCTTCTCCTGCAGGCGGCTCAGAGTCTGCTGCAGCTTGTGAAGCTCCGCCCCCCGCCGCTGGCGACGCACACGCTGCTGCCGGATGTCCTGAAAGGACAAACCGGGTTCATTCAGGGCAGAAACCGGATCGGGACGGTTCCGGTCAGGCCGCTACCTTGGCAACCATCTGCAGGAGCTGCTCTTCGGCCCGCGGCGGCCGCAGAACGCCGAGCGTCTCCAGGCGGCGGAGGCTGCGTACGATCTTCCTCTTCTTCTCCTCCAGGCTCAGGTTGCTGTTTGCAACCAGAGACGGATTCCTCTTCATCTTCTCTGGCATCTGAGCGTCCCGCCGCACCCGCCGCTGCACCAGCCAATCGTGACACACTTCCTGTTTGGAAACAGAACCCGGTCGCGTCAGGCGAGCGAGCGTCGCCCCAGGCGAGCGAGCGTCGCCCGGTCGTGTCGAGGGTCACCTGGTCAGGCGAGGTCTTTGTTTTCAAGATGTCCCTCAGAGAGTCGCCTGGCTGAGTCCTGATGACGTCGATGATCAGCTGCTTGGTGCTGAAGTCAGAACCACAAGTGAGCACAACCAAACAATGCGCTGACCTACCTGGACAGGTGAGCAGAGCTACCTGAGCAGCAGTCCTCGGACGTCCGGTTGTTCAGAAGAGTCGTCAAAACATCAAATTTGTTAGTGAGCGTCAGAGAAACTTCCATCTTACTGAACTCTGACCCTGGATCAGCTGACGCCTCACCTGAGGATCAAAAACCCCAAAAACTCGTCACACCAGGCGCCAACATCCAAACCCAGCAGGACCAGTTTACACCTGTACAGTACTGAGCTGCTGCCTGACCCGACCCAGACCCAACGGTACCGTTGAGCTCCTGCAGCGAGGGAACCGGTCCGAGGTCGTTCAGGATCAGCCTCAGCGGGTCCGACGGGTCGGGACACAGAACCTCCTGGTGCTCCAGCAGTAGCTGCAGAGACGAAGGCAGCAGGTCCAGAAGTTTAATGTCTTAAAGCGACGGTACGTATGAATCCTCCGGGAGCCATTTTATTTTTAAAGTTGATTTAAAAGAAATTCAACGTCTTTGTTTCATGTCTTGAAATTGGGCCTGTCTCTTTAAGAAGCTGCTCCTCCTTCTGATGCTTCACCTTCAGGAAGTCATCACAACAACGTTTCTCCATGATGCCGTTTGCAACTGGACTGGCTGGAAACTGCAGCTCAGCCTCGCCGAGTCCGGCCTGCTGCAGGCGAGTTAGTGAGCGTCAGAGAACTTTGTCTCAGAGGCGGAGCCAAGACTAGGTGTGTCCACATGTTGCCACGGCGACCCAAATGGTTGCCACGGCGACCCAAATGGTTGCCACGGCGACCCAAATGGTTGCCGAGGCGACCCAAATGGTTGCCGAGGCGACCCAAATGGTCGCCGAGGCGACCCAAATGGTTGCCACGGCGACCCAAATGGTTGCCACGGCGACCCAAATGGTTGCCACGGCGACCCAAATGGTTGCCACGGCGACCCAAATGGTTGCCACGGCGACCCAAATGGTTGCCGAGGCGACCCAAATGGTTGCCACGGCGACCCAAATGGTTGCCACGGCGACCCAAATGGTTGCCACGGCGACCCAAATGGTTGCCACGGCGACCCAAATGGTTGCCGAGGCGACCCAAATGGTTGCCGCGGCGACCCAAATGGTTGCCGCGGCGACCCAAATGGTTCCTTAACATGAATGAAAAAACAAACAATCCCCGTCTGTAACATGATGTCGAAAAACTTGATTTTACGTGACACTGTTCCTTTAAGAAAGGCAACAGCAGCAACGTGTTGCTGCAACGTTGCAGCAACAACACATTGCTGCAATGAAACTTTATCGTCACGTTGAGATGGAACCAACGTGACGATTTTTCTCGTTCACAAAGACAAACGGCTCACATACGACGTCAAACGCAGAAAACTGGCAACACTGACGCCTCCCCGGAACCACAGGGACCTTCTGGGCCCAAAGAGTCTCGGTTCTGCTGCGGCTCACCTTGTGAGTGTTGAGCAACTCGCTGACGGAGATGTAGACGACGGGTCTGTTGACGGTCAGCTGCTCAGAGAACTCGTCCATGCCGAACCGCTCCTCTGGTTCGGGAACGTCACAGACGCCGTGCAGGAACTTCCTGTCCAACAGAACATAAGCGGCCATCAGCAACGCCTCCCCTGACCTTTGACCCACGGCTGCTGGCGTCTGTACCTGAACCTGCCGTGGGTCCGGGTGATGTACTGGTTCAGGGCGTGAACGTGGTAGCCGTCTCCGTGGAAGTGCTTGTTGGCGGCGGCGTGCTGCAGCATGCGGGCTATGGATCCCAGGATGCGGCGCTGCTCCGGCTGCAGGGCGGATCCGGCCGACCGGTCCACCACGTCGAAGCCGTCCGGAGCCACGATGGCCGGATTCATGTAGCGATAGTACACCAGGTTTCCCACAATCTGCAGGGAGCGTCCCGGTTAGAGGACAGAGCCGGACTAGAAATTCATCCTGAGGACGTTTGTTCAATCCAGACCAACCTGAGATGAACATCCAGATTTTGTTCTGAAGGTTTGATTATTTAGTTCTGAAACGGTTCAAATCTAAAGAGGCGCAGTCACCATCCAGTCAAACTGGGAGCCACTGGGAGTATTCCAGTAAGACTCACCTTGTAGAGCTCGTCCTCACTGGCTGCAGGAAACTTTGCCTTCAAGGCGTCTCGGAGAACCTTGGCTGTGTAACGAAGGCCGTACCTGCCATCCACAGAGACCAGCCGTCATTCAAACTGCCCACCAATCAATCAGCAGAAATAAGTCAGGAGGTCAGGCGCCAACGGGAGAGAGCAGGAAGTCGGGGACCTACGGGAGTTTGTTGAGACTGGAGGTGATGGCTTTGAGGACGCGGTCCGTCAGGTTCTTCAGGTTGATGATGGCGATGTCAATTCTTCGCTGG